CACAGGAGGCAAGGGCCTAGGTCCTAGAACTGTCATCTGGTGTCTCCCAGGATGTCTCAGCAGGAAGTTGGATTGGAAACTGTAGCTCATACATGGGGTATGAGCATCCCAAGCAGTTACCTAACCTGCTGTAGCACAATACCCATCCCTGTTTTTATAATTTTAGACTGTCAGGCAGTCTTCTGTAATGCTGTCAGCCTGTTTAAAGGCAGTAGACATTTAAAGGAAAAGGTCAAACACTAACAACAGAACCTCTCTGTCTACGCATTGCTCAGAGGTGCCTGGTCAGAACGGGCTCTTGCACCACCCGAGAGCTGCTTACCAAGCTGTATGCCCTGGCACAGGACAGCATCCATAAAGCAGATGGCTTCCACTTTGTGATTCTCATGGAGATACCATGTGGGTAGGAGTAACTATGCAGTGTGTGTGTGATATGGCAGACCTGGTGATGATGGTGCACAGTAACCCTCTTGGGAACCCTGGAAGTGGGGACAGGCTGAAATGTGCATCGAGGTGTCCAGAGAGGTGCAGTGGCAAGGTCAGGGCTGTCATCTCCTTTCCCTTGCCTCTCTGCTGGATGGGAAAAACCATACTATTGTATGTGGTCAGCAGAACAGGCCAGGGACAATGGATGATCAACCACGGGATGTTTTTATAGTATACAAAATCGATACAGAACACATAAATTTAAAAAAAAATTTCATGTGATCTGAGTGGGGAAAACTTTAATTGCAGGACATGGAAAAAGACCTACTTAGAGAGACATACCATGCTTATAGATAGCATAACTAATTGTAAAGATGTTGACCCTGCTGCAGTCTAACGAAATTCCAACGAGAATTCAAGTCTGATTCTAATTCCTTCATAATCTGACAGTTGCATAGTGTGGGGGAAGGGAGGAGGATTTCTCAATGAGCTTTGATCTAGACTTATTATAAGACTTAGTCATGTAAAGTAATGTGGTCCAACCCTGCTCTGTTCAGTGTCTTAGTCACCAGCTGCTACACGAATATTTGAAGTGAATTGTGGTGTGCTGTTGGACTAGGGTCTAGCCTGGATGTTTGAGTGTCACATCCAAGTACCTGGATTTGATTCCTGGCTCTAGCTGTGGTTCCCAACTCCAACTTCCTTCTGCTGCAGACCCTGGGAGTCAGTGCTGATGGCTCTGGTGATTGTGTCCATCCCCACAGGAGAACTGGTTGAGCTCCTGCGTCCCGACTTAATGCACCAGCTCTTGTGGGCATCCGAGTGAACTGAGGATTGAGGCTCCGTGTTTCTCTCTCCATATCTCTCTGCCTTACAAATATACAAGAAGTGCCGTGCATATAAAATACCAAACTTGGCAGGGATTAAAAAAATAGATAGTAAAATGCCATAATGTAAAAACAATGATTGCATGTTGAAATAAAGTTTGGATATGTTAATGTAAGTGATTGAAATCAATTTAATCTTTTTTTAATGTCACTGGAAAATTAGAAACCACATATATAGTTGTATGCAGTGCATGTAATTATATTTCCTACATATTCTTGTGCTGGGCCAGACCAGTGATATACCCGAACCCCAACCATGCAAAAGACACGTGGCAGCATGGAGTCTTAACAAAAGCATTGGGTTATCAGCCAGTGTGGAAGGGATAACATGTCCATATGGAGAAAATTAGATGCTCAATCTACTATTTATTCAGAAATGAAATCCTGATTGATTTGAAGATCTGGATTTGGGAAACTGGAAGAATTTTAGAAGTTAGCAGGGACTGTTTATGGCTTTGGAGTCGGAAAGGATGTGGGTCCAGATTGCTTTTGCTACTTAACCAGCCCAAATCTTAGTGGTGTAAAACTGCTACAATTTGTTATTTGTCCCATTGTGCAGATTTCCCACATGGGTCCTCTACTGGCCCCACCTGGGATTTCCAACGTGACTTATGCCTTGCTGACAAATTGGCTATGCTACTGCGTGGTCTGGGCCTCCTCCATCCTCTTCCATCACCTGAACAAGTTCCAGCTTGGCAGGGTCAGGTGCTGAGGCAGCCACCGTGGAGTCTGCAGAACCTCTTGAGGCTGCTGGGCTTCTTGAGGTGGATGAAGCGGGTCACAGGGCTGGCTCGGGGGAGGGGCGTGGGGGGCAGACTGCAGGCGTTGGGGAAGTCACCTAGCAAAGGAGGAGGGAAAGTTGGGCCGGAGAAAGGAGGGATAGACATGACTGTACAAGATCGAAAAGGCCAAGATTGATAAATGGAGCTACGCTAAATGTTAAAGTATCTATTTCTGAAAACATTGGAAAAATGAAACAATTGATAGACTGGGAAGGTATTTTTGCAACATATTTTTGTATCCAGAGACACCAAAATGTATCCATCACAGGAGAAGGACCAACAGCCCAGTTGAAAGTCAGGCAAAAGACATAATTAAAGCAATTTGTAGACTTCAAGAGATGATGTTCAGCTTCATCTAATTTTTGTTTCTCTGATTTCATTATCAGAGAAATGAATGTTAAGAACAGGGAGACGCCGCTGTATGCTCACAGATGGTCTTGGTCCATGCAGGCTGCTACAATGAAGTGCCATGCACCCAGTGGCTTGTCACTGACAGAGATGAATGACCTACTGTGCTAGAGGCGGGAAGCTTAAGGTCAGGAGTCAAGCTGCTCAGACTTGCCTGCCGAGAGCCTGCCGTCTGCTTCAGAGCTGTCTTGTCTTATTTCTTTCTTAAAATTTTAGTTTCTATTTTATTTGAAAATTAGAGTAACCCAAGATAGAAATCTCTCATGTACTGGTTTACTCCCCTGAAACACCTGTCACAGCTAAGGCTGGACCAGGATGAGGCAAGAGCTCTGAACTCCTTCTGCGTCTCTCACATGGGCGGCAGGGGCCCAGGTCCCGGAACATCACCTGATATCTTCCGTGGTGTGTGTTAACAGGTAACTGAATCCAGAAGCAGTAGATCAGGTGCTCCCACTGGGGATGCTAGCAATCATCCCATCATCCATTGTGTAAGGTACCTGCCTGTGGAGGGGGTTTGTCAGGGGAAGCCCTTTTGTAAAGGTGGGCATCCCATTCCCAAGAGGTCTGCCCTCCTAACCTGTGATGCCCTGAAGGCATCACCTGGTGGGGGTGGGCGAGGGAAGCTTTCAGCACCCGAGGTTACCAATGGAAGTGAGGAGTTGGATGACACCAAGAAGTGTGGGTTAAGATGTGACATGAAGAAAGGGGCACGCTCAGTCACTTTGCAGGGGTGGAAGGCAACCCAGCACTGCCAGTGTCTGCTGCAGTGGCAAGCAAACGCATCCTTCGGCACTCTCCTGGGGCATCTGGGGAATGCCGCTAAGAACAGGTGTAAGGCCGGAAGATGTTCCTCGTACCATTGCTGTAATACAAGAAAGGTGGGACTCAAATATAGGATGTTGGATAAATCGTCACAGCTTCACGAGGCTGCACAGGAAGCAGTGAGTGAGAGCTGGATGGAGTGTGAAAAGGGACTGTTGACTGAGAAGGGTGTGTTCCAGAATAATTAGCATGTAGTATGGTGTAATACAATGAGATAAAGGCCGAGGCTCACAAAACAATATTTAATGTTTGTGACTAAGTATTCAAGAAATAGATACCCGGGCAGCAGGGTTGTGAGTGCCTTTGAAAGGGGGAGGAAAGGATGGGGTCAGAGAGAAAGGGATGTGGCAGGTGTGTGCGTGTGCATGCCAGTCTGTTGTTGTGCTTGCTGTGTGGTACAGTGAGTTATGTGGTCAGTTGAGACATCTGCATCCCAAGCCGGAGTGCCTGGGATTGAGTCCCAGCTCTGCTTCCAATCCAGCTTCCCGTTAATGTTCAATCTGGGCAGCAGTGGGTCCCTGCCACCCACTTGGGAGCCCTGGATGGAGTTCCTGACTCCTGCATTTGGCCTTGCCTAGCCTTGGCTGTTGCAGGCATCTGGGGAGTGAGCCAGCAGCAGATCAATGATCTTTGCCTCTGTTGCTCTGCCTTTAAAATGAAGGGGCCGGCATTGTGGCCTCCACCCGTGGTGCTACATCCCACAAGGGCACTAACTTGAGACCCGTCTGCTCCATTTCTAATCCAGCTCCCTGCTAATGTACCTGGAAAAGCAGTGGAAGATAATCCATGTGCTTGGGGCCGCTGTACCCATGTGGCAGACCTGGATGAGGCTACTGGCTTCTGCCTTCAGTCTGGTTTAGCTGTGGCCATTGTGGCCATTTGGGGAGTGAAGCAGTGGAAGCAATTTCTCTCTTTCTGTCTCTCTGTCCTTAAAAGTAGAATAGAATAGTCTTTAAATACAGAATTGACAAAGTGTTGTGATTTGCTAATTCCTTTTTTTTTTTTTTTAACTATTAGAAAGTCAGAGAGGAAGATCTTCCATCCATTGATTCACTCTCCAAGCAGCTGCAATGGCCACAGCTGCACCAATCCAAAGCCAGGAACCTGGAGCCTCTTCTGGGTCTCCCATGCAGGTTTAGGGCCCCAAGGCCTTGGGCCGTCCTCGACTGCTTTCCCAGGCCACAAGCAGGGAGCTGGATGGGAAGTGGAGCACGGGGGACATGCACCAGTGCCCATACGGATCCTGGTGCATACAGGTGAGGACTTTAATCTCTTGGCTACTGTGCTGAGCTCGATTTGGTAGTTCTGTATGGGTAGGTTTGCATTATGACTCAGTACTTTTTCATGTGCTTGAACTGTTTCAGCAAAGATACAGGGAGCATCTTTAGCACATTACAGTTTTGGCCATGGAGTATATAATAAAAATGGCCATTTAAACTTTGGTCATGAATTGGGCCTTAACAAGAATTTCTGACTTCAATGTACACATCATTTAATGAGCATATAGATCATTCCGGCATTGGTGAATTAAGTTTGATAGTGTCTGATGGCACGTTAAGGCTGGAGCAGAATGACAGGTGTTGAAAATGCCTTTTAGAAGTTGCTAGATGGAGGCTTGGATGTGTCCTGGACATCTGAAGGTACTCATTCTCTGCCTTGCCCTCCTCCATCCCAGGAAGCGCGCTTTGTCCCACCTGCAGCCCTTATGGCTCTGTATGATGAAGATCTCCTGAAAAACCCTTTCTACCTGGCTCTTCAGAAGTGGCGGCCGGACCTGTGCAGCAAGGTGGCCCAGGCCCACGGCACTGTAAGCATACTGGTCCCGAGGGTGGTTGGTTCCTGGGCGTGGGTGTGGACATGGGCAAGGCTAGAAGTTTGGAGTCGGGGAGGTTTCCAGGGAGCCCCCAGCTCAAGTGTGAATGAACAGCAAGGGATACCAGGAACTCCTCCAGAAGCCTGCTGGGCCTGCTGTCCCAGCCTCACCCTCTTCTGGGCCCTTCTAGGGATGCCCTGCAGGCCACTGCATTCTCAGGGTGCCTGCCTCAGTCTCTCTCTGGTTGGTGGACTGTGAGGGCTCCTAGGGCAATGATGATAGTTGATCCTATTGGCCATGTTCCTCCTCATGAGTCCATTGGAAGCAGGGAGCGTATGACATGTTGGTCTATAGCTCTGGTGAATGTCTCAGGAAAGAACTGGGAAAGAGGACACGGCCATGAAAGCTTTCAGGGGTGGTTAGGTCATGGGCGTGGGAGAAGCAGAAAGGAGGCATTAGCCATCCTGCTGTGTGGAGAGAGGGCCGGCCCCTTGGGGCGGGTCTTCCAGGTTTTTGGGTTGGTGGAGTTGGCCCGAGCTCCTGGGGATGTGTGTGTACTGGGTGCATTTTGGTGGCTGTGGCCATCTGCCTTCTTTCTTGGGCACTTTCCCCTTCTCATCTCCTGTTTGTGTTTCGCCTCCCATGCTGTGCGATTCTGCTCAGGTACACCAAGTGTCCAGGGTGTAAATGCAACGAGAAGTCAGGAAAAGTCAGGTTAGCACAGGTTGCCAACGGGGTCTGGCTGCCCCTCTGGGAAACCAGAACCAAGCTTCCTTCGCCTCTGCTGCAGAGGTCTGGTTTAAAGGCCCTTGGCAGCTGTCAGGATTAGTTCTGTGACTTACATGTTTGTTTCAGAATTTTTTTTTACTTTGGACTTTGTAAGTCATCATGTTCATTGAAAATAAAAATTGAGAGGCACTTTGTGAGATTCTGGGGGCTTCACGCATATGTGTGGGGAACACAGTGTTCCTTTAGGGAACCCTATAAACTGCTTGCAGGCTGGAGGATCGGGTGGGGACAGATGTCTGTCTGTATCTGTTGTTCTGCTTCCCTGTGCTGCCGGACATTTGGGAGGACGGGGTCTTGATTAGCCACCCTAGCTCCAGCCAGTCCCCCCTGGCATGTGGGCTGCTGTCTCCACAGCCGGCCAGGGTAGAGGGTAGGAGGAATGGGGCTGTCACCAGCAGCCTCCCTGCTACCCCGTCAGGTGTGCCTCTGCTTCCTGGGTGCACACCATCCCAGCATTCCAGAGTTGTGAACTGTGATGGCTTTTCAAACACAGCAATTGTTTTTGGAGCGCCTGAGACCTAGAGCTTCCTACTTGCCTGTTTCCTCAAGCTGAATGCTTTTTAGTATTTTTACTCTTTTTGAGTCATGAAATCTTAGTTCTGGAAGGAGGCTTACCTCTCTGCTTGAATCAGCCGCTTCCCTCGTAGCCACCTAATGTTGACTTGACCTTGGCCAGGCTACGTTGCAGGTGACAGCCCTCAGCTTCCCCTGCTTTGGGAGCTCCAAGGAGCATGGGGGAAGAGACCACCTGTGACACCATGAGAGCGTATCCTGGCGTGTTGCTGCTCCTGTCTCACACTCGCATGTGTGTCAGGCATTCCCCTGTGACACAAGCAGGAACCAAGGACCAATGACAGGCTGTAGACCATCTGCTTCTGGAGCTTTGTCCTGGCTGCCCTGGGCGGTGGCCCCATGAAGGGTGTTCTTGCTGGAGCGCCTTCCTTGGAGGCACATGTAATCCTGAAGAATCCTCTTACAGTGTTTGAGTCCTAGCAGGTGCACCTCTGGTCAGGATGCATGTGTCCCACACAGGAGTGCCAGAGTGGGTTCGGCTCTGAGCCCCGGGCCCTGACTCCAGCTTGCTGCTGAAGCAGTTCTTAGGAGGCTGGGCTGATGGCTGAAGAGTTTGGATTCCTGCCACTCACCTGGACTGAGTTTTCAACTCCTGGCTGTTTTAGGAATTTGGGGAGTGGAGCCTTGGATGAGAGGGCTTACTACCTCTCCAAAAAAAAAAAAAATTACGTGAATAACTGAAATTAAAAAAAGAAAAGAATCCTTGAGCTGAGCGGGGAGCTCCATGTGCTTGTGGTTGGCTGGGGTCAAGAGCTCCCCTGGTAGCTAGACTCCTCCCTCCTGCTGTGCTGTGCTGGGCCGCAGGGTGCTCTATGTTTGGTTTTGCACATTCTGGACTGAACCTGCTCCACAGCCCGAGTTGGGCACCCTGAGACATTTCCAGTGGGTGTGGCAGCCTGTGCTCGGGACCTTGGTCTCCAGCACCCACTGCATCGTCGCAGACTATGATCATAGCAAGGCTGAAAGCAGAGGAGGGGTAGTAAGGTCATAGTGACGTTGTCTTCAGCTGCAAGTGTTTCTCTCTCTCGAGTGGTGGGATTAAGTGCGACCACCCCATTTCCCTCCCCTGGACTCCTTCCTGTGTGGTTGGTCCTGGGAAGTGGGCTGTTGGCCACAGTGGGACATGGAGGGAGGTAGAGGCGGTGGCGGTGCTGAGTCCAGGAGGAGCCCGGCACTTCCCAGGTCCGAAGATTGTCCAGAACTGTATAGTCCTTGTCCAATTCCTGCCTGGTGTGGGGAGTGTCTGTTTCTGTCACAGCGGCTCACGGACCCAGTCTTAGTGGCCATGGGTGCGCTAGCCAGTGATGCCGGGCGACTCTTAGCCTGTGTGTCCTCCTGGAGACAGGTGGTTCTGCAGAAGCTTGAGTGGGGCCCCTGTCTCCCGATCTCCCTGTTGATTTCCTCCAGGTGCTGGTACCCTGCAAAGGCAGCCTGACAAGCAGCATTCAGTCCACGTGTCAGTTCGAGTCCTATGTCTTGGTTCCAGTGGATGAGCATTTTCAGACCTTAAATGGAAAGGTATTCAACTCTGGAGGGACCAGCCAGAGTTCACTCAGCGTTTGGGGTTGGGGAGGAGGATCCTGAACCCAGTTTCCTAGCCTTCCACGTCTGCATTCTTACGGGGTAACTGGTGACATGCACCCATGCATATATACACACAGCAGCCTGTGGAACTGCTGGAGGGGCTCCTGCCTTGGAGAAAGGGGAGCTGTTAATGCCTCAGGTCCCAGGGTGACGCCTTGGTGTCCAGAGGGGCCAGCGTCCCACTTGGCCCATGGGGTGGGAACACTTGCCATGCCAGGGAAAGCTTGTGGGTTTGTAAGTGAGCATCAGGAGTGGCTATCTTCTTTTAAAAAAAAGGGGGGGGGTTATTTATTTTAATTTCAAAAGCAGATTAGATTTATGGAAAGAAGGAGAGAGAGGGGAAGATCTTCCATCTGCCTGTTCACTCCCCAGATGGCCTCAATGGCCAGAGCTGAGCTGATCTGAAGCCAAGAGCTTCCTCTGAGTCTCTCATACTGGTGCAGCGTCCCAAGGCGTTGAGCCATCCTTGACTGCTTTCCCAGGCCACAAGCAGGGACCTGGATGGGAAGTGGAGTAGCCAGGACATGAACCTGTGCCCGTATGGGATCCTGGCGCTTGTAAGGGGAGGATTTAGCCACTGAACCATCACATCAGGCCCAGGGATGATTATTTTTTAAAGGTTTTTTATCCTAATGAGTTAATTTAAATAATTTAATCAGCACCTTATTTTTAATCTATGGAAAGTAGCTGTGGAATCTAGGAAACTTGGGGCACCCCTCCCCAGTGCCAGTCAAGGTCAGCCATTTTGCATTTGTCTGTCTTCATCTGTTCTCCACCTACACGCACAGGGTCCTCAGTCTTTCTCTATACCCCAAGGCAGTTCTGCGTATCCTTTTATTATTGTTGAAACACATATTTATTTGAAAGACTTGCAGAGACAGGGAGAGACAGAGAGAAGGAGAGGGAGAGAGGTCTTTCATATGTTGGTTTTACTCCCAGGTGGTCACAGCGGCTGGCGCTGGACCGGGCTGTGAGCTGGGAGCTCCTTCTCGTGTGGGTGCAGGGGCCCTGCTGCTTTCCCGGGCTCCTTAGCAGGGAGCTGGATCAGAAGCAGAGCATCCACACTCACATGGGATGCCACCATCACAGGCAGCACTTGACCCACATGTCCTTGGGGGAGCCCAGCTGCGCTGCCCTCCTACCTGGGACTCTGGTTGTGATTTGGGCCCTTGACTTGGCAGCTGAGGCTGGTGGGCATGATGGGGAAAGGCTGCAGAGTGGGGCTCCCAGAAGGTCTGCTCTGGGGTAGGGGGAGAGGAGCAGGCGTTTTCCTGCCCAGGACTTGCTTGCTCGTCATAGCTGTCTGTCACTAGTTCTTGTATGAACCGGATACTCTGTCTATAGAGAGCAGAGTAGTCCAACTCGTGGTGGCTGGGCCATCCCAGCCAGGGCTGAGTGAGCGGGGCGCAGGGCGGCAGGGCTGGGGGAGGCTAGCCTGTGTGTTCTCCAGCCCCTCCCTCAGCACAGAGGCACCCCCATTGTTGACTGTGCCAGACAGGAGAGTCTGTGTGTCTTCCCCCCCCGAAGGGTACAGGATTTCCTCTAGTGGAGGAATAGCCCTGGTGCTTCTTCCCTTGTGGTAATTGAGTATCACAGAAAACAAAGCAGGGGAGTGTTTGTGTGCCCAGCCAGAGTCACACTGCGGGGAGAATGGGGGTGATCTGGGAGGGGCTCTGTGGTCATGACCCCCGGCTGCTGGTGCAGTGGTGGGTGGCTTTCGTTTGCAGGAAGTCTTCATACAAGGGAACAGGATCAAGCTAGGAGCTGGCTTTGCCTGCCTTCTCTCAGTGCCCATTCTCTTTGAAGAAACTTTCTACAACGAGAAGGAAGAAAGTTTCAGCATCTTGTGTATAGCGCATCCTTTGGAAAAGAGAGAGAGCACAGGTAGGAAACATGGGTTTCTGGAACTTTCTCCTGGCGCAAGAATTAAAAAGCTAAGCATCTCAGGCTGTCCTCTTGTTAGAGGATGCTATCTGAATGGCAGCCCGTTGCCCTCTCTGCCCTCCGGCCTGGGAGGATGAGGCCCTGGGGTCTGTGAGAGGAGGACCAGGATGGGCCGCGTCCCCCCTCCCGGCCTCGACCCTGCACCTCTCTGTTTCAGAAGAGCCTTCGACGCCCTCAGATCCCTTCTCCCTGAAAACCATCGAGGATGTGCGAGAGTTTCTGGGAAGACACTCGGAGAAGTTTGACCGGAGCGTGGCATCCTTCCACCGTGCCTTCCGCGAGTGTGACAGGAAGAGCCTCCGTCAGCACATAGTCAGTAGCTCACGTGGTGCCGTGTGGGGCACACCCCGTCTCTTGCTCTGCACTTGATCTTAGCCAAAAGGCCGAGAAGCGATTCTTCTCTGGCTCTGAACCTGCCCTCGGGTGCCACCTCCACAGCTTGGAAACTCGGCTTCATGGGTTTCTCTGGGATGAAAAAAAGGGTGGCCTCAACCACTCTCGAAAAATTTGAACTCTGTGAAGTCTAAAAACAAGTAGTACTGTCATCTGTGTTAACCCTCAGGGGTAAATGCATGCTGACTTTTAATGCATGTATACCTTAGAAATGTATATTTTAAAAACAAGTCATCACAAAACTGACTCAGTGAAGCTTGCATGAGCCCCTGAAAGCTGATTGTGCGGGAAGTGCGTTGGGCGTGATGCTGAGCCGAGGGTCGAGGGTCGGTAAGGTGACACCCCCCCACCCCACCTCTGTTCCGCAGGACTCGGTGAATGCGCTCTACACCAAATGCCTCCAGCAGCTCCTGCGGGACTCCCACCTGGTGAGTGCACACAGCACCTCCTGCCCAGAGAGGGTGGTGGCATGCCCACCTGCAGGTCCAGGTCCCCTAAATCTGCTTCTCTTGCCTGCAGAAAACACTTGCCAAGCAGGAGGCCCAAATGAACCTGATGAAGCAGGCAGTGGAGGTGAGGGAGGGGAGGGCAGCCGCGGCCACACGGCCCTCTGTGGACCCACACACCCCCTCCCTGCCCCGTTGACCTTGGGCTCTGTTGCTGCTCTCACAGATGTACGTCCACCATGAGATTTACGACCTCATCTTTAAGTATGTGGGGACCGTGGAGGCAAGCGAGGTAGGTGCTCAGCGCAGGGCGGAAGCCTCCCCTTTGTACTCCTGGATGAGAAGTTTGAAGCCTCGTTGAAATCTGTTGTCAGGATGCCGCCTTTAACAAAATCACGAGAAGCCTTCAAGACCTTCAGCAGAGGGACATCGGTGTGAAACCTGAGTTCAGGTAAAGGGTGCGCTCGGAGCCTGGGGCACCGTCTGCGTCCTCGCGGCGTGCCCACGGGACCCTGCTGGTGTTGACGCACAGTGTGGTCACTCATGGGTGCAGAGGGAGGGCTGCCCTTTGCACCAGCATGCCAGCTGCGTGGGAGCTGAAGGGCATGGATTTTGTGCAGCCAGTCTGCACGTGGGCACCTAACCCACCCGGCTAGGGTGTGTGGGTAGGGTGTGGCTCCCTCCCTGCCATGCAGGCACCCGCCCTCCTGTTCATTTACCTTTCCCTTGGGGTGCACAGATGTCTCCAGTAGCAGTCCTTCTGGAGCTAAGTATTTCTGTTCACTCTACATCTCTGGCATAGCTCTGTTACCTAGCAGCCTAGATGGAGTTTCAAGCTCCCCCAGTGGTTGGTTGGTTTGTTTTGTTTTGTTTTCCTTGAGTCCAACGACTTCCTGGTACCTGTTTTGTCTGTTAAGTACTGTTACTGTTATAAGGAGCGTTACGACTCAAGGTGTGCCCTCAGATCCAGGAAGAAGGGCCCTCCAGCCGCCTTCTCAAGTTGTCCCTTTCCACACAGCTTCAATATCCCTCGTGCCAAGAGGGAGCTGGCACAGCTGAACAAGTGCACCTCCCCGCAGCAGAAGCTCATGTGTTTGCGCAAGGTGGTGCAGCTCATCACGCAGTCCCCCAGCCAGAGAGGTAGGTGCTGGGGCCAGGGCTGCCCACACCATCCTGAGGAGTGTGGGTGTCCCAGAGTCTGTTCTGATTGGGCCTGTGCTTACAAACTTTGTGGAGGCGGGGTTAGGGGGAGTGCTACATCAGACATGGTTAGGGTAGGATTAAAGAACAGCCTGGTAAGGATAAGGCTTTCTGTGTGTGTGGAAGCAGGGTGAGGGAAGAGCACAGGCATGTGGTGGCAGGGGCGTGCGTGACTGTGGGTGGTGGTGAGGCCCCAGCCCGACCCTGCAGAGGTGCACAGGAACCTGCATGAGAGCCTCGGGAAGGGAGCCTGCTGGCTTGCTGGGCGCGGTGGGGAGGGGGGAGCATTTCCACTTCCCTCTTTTGTATTTGCATTTTTTTTTAAACCCAGGAATGCGTTATTTAAAACTTCAGACTAGAAAAAAAAATTTAATAGAATGAAGCTCCACTTGGTCACGAGAGTCTCCCAGGTGACCTCCAGGAGCCAGGGCATTGGGTGATGGTGCTGGGCACGGTCACCACTTGCCCAGGCTCCCCGCAGCTGCCTGGGCAGCCTGCAGTTTAGTTACCTGTCTCTGGTACACGTTCCTAAGCTGTGGGCGTTTTCTGACCTGCCTTCGGGACTCTGCAGGAAGTGGTCTGGGGTGTGGTGATCTGACTGGAGCGTGCTCTCTGTGGGTTGAGTGGTCATGCACTTGCCAGTCCTCTTGAGTCTCATGATTGACTTTGAACTTGCATTTCCTCCTTGCAGTTAACTTGGAGACCATGTGTGCTGATGACCTGCTGTCTGTCCTATTGTATTTGCTTGTGAAAACAGACATCCCTAACTGGTAACGTGGCTTCTGTTTTTTTTTTTTTTTTTAATGCTGTTTTGAAATGGCCATACTGTGCCACAGCAGCTTTAGTGCAGTTCTACAATGAGCCTCCTTTTAAAAAAATTTATTTACTTTTATTTGAAAGGCAGATTTTTTTTTTTAATAGAGAAAAGGAGAGATGGAAACAGAGCTTCCATTGGCTGGTTCATTTTCCAAATGACTGGGCTGGTCAGGAACCAGGAGCTTCCTCCACGTCTCCCATGTGGTTGCAGGGGCCTCTTGGGCCATCCTTTGCAGGGAGCTTGATGGGAAGTGGAACAGCCAGGACTCCAATTGGTGCCCATATAGCATGCTGACACCATAGGCAGAGGTTTCATATACTACACCACAGTGCTGCCCCGATGAGCCTCCTTTATTTGTTTACCTTCTAGGAGCCACGTGCTGGGCCTCAGCCTCCCTGCCCTCATCCTGCAGAGAGAGAGGCTGGCTTTCCACTCACAGATGGGAGAACTGAGGCCCAGCGGGCATCCCCTTCTCATTCCAGGTCACACACCTGGTTGGTGGCTGAGCAGGAATTTGACTCCAGTTCTTTCTGATCCAGAATCTATCCTCTCTCCACAGGAACCCACAGCTTGCATTTGAACAGTCAGCTCTCTACACACTAGGCTGTGCTGGGGAAGTAATAGGTAGTTACGTTCGTTCTCCTAATTGCACATGCTCTGCATATAGATGGATGTGCCAACACCCCAGGCAAACAGGTGTTAGATCCATTGCTCACACTCATAGCATTGTTTTGGCAAGAATGCTGGTTGGTATCCAACAGTAAACTTTTCTTCTTGCTTTTGTTAGGATGGCGAATCTGAGTTACATCAAAAACTTCCGATTCAGCAGCTCAGCCAAAGATGAGTTGGGGTACTGCTTGACCTCAGTGGAGGCTGCCATTGAGTACATCCGGCAAGGGAGCCTTTCCACCAAGCCACCCGTGAGCTGCACCCCTGCCCTGCCCCTGGGTCAGGGTTCTGGGCTTGGTGCGTGGGGATGAGGTTCCCAGATGGTCTCCCCCAGAGCGAGGCCCACCCTCAGCTGTGTGAGGGCTGTGCGCCTCGAAGACCATGTGACCAACCAACCAGTGAGCCTCCCAGTAGACTGAGAAGGCAATGAGTTGTCCCTATTGTTTGCACTGTCAATATGCTGCTTCATTAAGCCCCTGGGGGGTTGGGTTCAGAACGGGGCTTCCTTGATGAAGACAGGCCTGAAGTGACTGATGGTTCACTGGTGCAGGTGTAGGGGTGAGGTGGCTGTGTGGTTGCTCTCTTGGCTGGTGGCTTGCTGAGCTTTGGCCAGAGGAGGTGGCTGTGTTTTGCTGTGACTTGTGAGGTCTTCAGGCGAGTGTGCCTTGCTGGCCTCCTTTACTACATCACCAGCTTACGAAGCCGCAGTGACAATGACAAACCACTGCATCAACTTGGTAGCCAGGGATGGCTTGGTAACGTTTTGCTATGTCTTTTTTTCATTGTGTATACAGATGTTCTTTCTAGAGTTCAGGATTGTGCTGCGCCTGTTGGCACGTAACCTGCCAGCATCACAGGGCTTTATGAAGAATTCAGATCTGTTGTCTGGGGTCTGGGTTGATCCCTGGCTCACTCACAGGGCTCATCCCCTCTCTGATGTGCTTGCCTTGTCTGTTTGCGTGAGTCAGGTGGAGTCACTGTCATTTTGGCATGCGTGTGTATTCGTGTCTGCAGGTGGGGAAGAAGGGTTCTTAGAGCAAGTTATTCTCTGTGAGGTTCTGAGGACCTGTGCTGCCCTTGGCGTATCTGGGCTGGTTTTCCATGGTAATCCCCGCCCCTGTTCCTTCCCTACAGTGGGTCTGATCAGTCACTATCTTTCTGGCTCTTGTACCCTGCAGTGGAGTTGGAGTGCTCCTTGTTGGGGTGTGGGCCAGGACTCTTGTCACCTGGTAGGAGGTGTCCACCCCTACCCTGTTGTCCCCCGTAGCGCGGCTGTCCTGCCTGCTTTCTTTCTGTGGCACTCTAGCAAGGTGTGGCCATGGTCATTTTGTCATTTGCATGGACTGTCTGAGGGATCATTGCATCAGAAGCCCCCATGGGACACTCCAGAACCCCTGCTTGTGTCTGTGGTATCCCCTCGCTGGGCCTCACTGTTTCTGGACTCCCTGGTATTTCCTGTCAGGAAGCCCCCAGGCATGGTATTTAGCTGGGACAGGCAAGTAGAGACGAGGGACCCCTCTTGTCTGGGCTGCCTGGCCCTGGCCTGTCCTGGTTGCAGAATGACTGAGTCTGTTGGGTGTCAAGCCAAGGCATGGGTTGTCATCGTGATCCACTGAAGTCCATGCCTTGCACGTTACAGGAGACGAGCTCCCTCTGTTACTGACAGAGTGTATCTCATGGTCTTGGGCAATGCCAGTGTGTGCTCACGGGCTCCTCTTGAGTGGGGAAGTCCCCTTTGAGAGGGCATGAAGCCCGTGCTGGGCATTGGTGTTGCTCCCTAGAGAAAGATCCCTCATGGCCTGCAAGGGTTTTGGGAAGCGTCAGAGCTGAGTGTCCGTAAGTCGGGTCAGGTTAGGTTTCACTGAGAACTGTGTGCTGTAGCTGCACCAGGCACATGGTCAGACCTGAGCTGACTGCATAACTTCCTTGCAGCCTGTTCCTGAAGGAAAACCTCAACCTTCTGAGACCAGTGGGTTGGCCTCTGGGTAGGGGACACAGGGACCTTTCCTGCCTTCCTGCTGTGGACAGATGACCTCTGTCCCTTCCCAGGTGGGCCCTTTCTCATAGCTCCATCTTCCCTGGAGACTCAGCCCCTCTCCTTGTCTGCCTGCCCTTCCCAGGGTCCCAGCAAGCTGAGGCAGAAAGCCTGTCTTTACTCACCTCTGATATTCATCCAGCCCTTATCTGCTCAACTGTAAACCACAGACAGACTGCAAATGCTTTAATATGGCCTGGGACGGGGGCAGCTCTTCACGGGCGGGGTGCTGCTCCTTGTTGGGCTAACTGGGGTACTGGTCAGAGGCTCCCTATTGGCAGTGGCCCCCAGGAACGGCCCACGTCCCCCTCCCAACCTCCAACCGAGGAGTTGTTGGCTCTATGACCAGGCTCCAAGCCTGTACAGAGAAGTGGTGCCCCAGTTTTGTGAAGTTCCTCTGGCAACAGCTTCAGCTGGGGAAAAAATTCCCTTTTCGCCCCCGACCAAGGTTCGTTTTCTGGAAGTTATGCTGTGACTCGGTCCTTTAGCTGCAGTGCTGGAGTGAGTGTTGATGTGTCCTGGTCATTCATTGAGCACTTGTAGGCTTCTGTGACATGGAGAGCCAATTGGACCAAGAGGGGTGGCTCCGGCAGGTGAGAAACACACAGAGTTGGAGTCTCCTTTTGTCTCTGGAATTCCCCCCAGGTCTTTGGGGACCCAGGGGCCCCTGTCTCATCTTCTATAGGATGGAATCTGTGGTGGTGGTGTTCAGCCTGGCACTGGTTGACAATTGGCTCTCCCCCGTGTGTGGTGCTATACAGGTGTAAGGGTGGACACCTGGGAATAGAAGCGGCCAGGATGTCCACACCCTGCCCAGAGGAGATGGCGTGAGCACACCGCCCTTGACACATGGAGGTGACACATTGCATACGTGTGACCTGCGGCCTGTCGCCCTCCTCTCCAGAGCCACCACTTCCAGGGAGCCCTGTGTGACCACCTGATGGGGAGGGGGGCATTCTCCATGCCAGGTGTCAGGGAGGAGCCACTGTCCCCTGTCCCCTGATGAGTGACTGAGCTGGAGGCGTGTCCTGTCACGAGCAGGCTGTGTGACCTTTCCCCCCAGGAGTCTGAGGGAGCTGACGACAGGCTGTTCCTGAAGCAGAGAATGAGCTCGCTGTCCCAAATGGCCTCCACCCCCATCGATTGCCTGTTCCAGGTGAGACCCAGGGTGTCTGCGTGTGATCCCGTGTCCTTCAGCGTGCGCCAGGGCCGTCTGTGTAAAACATTGATGTTCCCTGTCCCAGGTCGGGGGCGGGGAATCCCAGCTTAAAGTGTGCAGCCATCACGCCGGTCCACTTCCCGCAGTGCCAGGTGCGCTGGGCAGCGCACCTGGGGTCTGGACCATAAAGAATTTTACTGGACTGTTCATCTCTGTCCGCCTGGCAAAATACATGGTGGTGGCCCTGGCCTGGTGGTGCCTCTGCTGGGCTCTGGAGCTGTGTCCTGGGTTTCCATTTCTGTTTTAATTATGGCAAATGTGTGAAACAAGCAACTTGTTCTGCCACTGTCCCCAAATGTGGTTTCACCTAAACCGCCACCTTCTCACGCCACCCCACCTGGAATTGCTTTGTAGTAGCTCTCCAAAAGCTGATTGCGTCATCCGTTAAAAAAAAAAAAGATACAGGCACGGGTTCCTGAGAAGATTCTTGGGAAATTTGTGCTTTCAAAACATCATAACCGGTTCCTTAAATGTGGACGGTGTTTCTGGGTGTCACTTTGCAGCACATCGCCTCAGGCAACCAGAAAGAAGTAGAAAGACTCTTGAGCCAAGAAGACCATGACAGAGAAGCCATCGCTCAGACCATGTGCCACCCTCTGTGCTTCTGCGATGACTGTGAGAAGCTGATGTCTGGGTAAGGGGCGAACGGGGCAGGTCCAGGGTGACGGGGCCCCACGGAATCCTGTAGTGTGAGTGCGTGCAGATGCGTGGGTAGAACAGGACAGGGACAGCCGCCCCGCCCTGACAGAGTGGGGTTTGCCTGAGAGGAAGTGACAGGGGACACTGGAGTCGGCCACCTACCTTGCTGGTGCTGTAGGCTCATCATGAGCTGGCACAGCCCATCCCTGGGGCTGTGTGGGAGAACCTGTCTGGAGTCTCGCCCTGTGCACAGTGCAGCCAGGCCATTCCTGTGCTGAGTCTTCAATGTCTTCTTGGCATTTCAGGAGACTGAATGACCCATCCATTGTCACTCCGTTCTCCAGGGATGACAGGGGCCACACGCCCCTCCACGTGGCCGCCCTCTGTGGTATGTGGGCTCTGAGGGAACGGTGCTCGCTGTGGCCCGGTCGAGGCCTGGTTCATGGCCGGGGATTAGGGGAGGCAGTGAAGGGGGTTCGTGGGGAGCCCACCCCTCAGAATCCAGAGGCTGGGAAGAGAAGGGGAGCAGGTGTTCTGCAGGAGGCATCTGTGCTGCCTCCTGTGTGTGTGGCTCACACCTGGGCTGGCGAGTGAGGCTTGCACCCAAGCTAGGAGAATGGCTTTAGAATTATCCCCTTGGGGTTCTTTTTAGAAATATTTGATTTCATTTATCTGAAAGGCAGATTCATTCTCTCTCTCTCTCGTCTGCTAGTTTACTCCCCAAATACCCACGATAGTGAAGGCTGGGCCAGGCTAAAGCTAGGAGCCTGGGACTCATTCCAGGTCTGCCATATGCAATGACTTGAACCATCCCCTGTTGCCTCCCGGTGTAGACATGCCTGCTCCATCTGGATATTCCTGTAGTCCTGCCTGGAGGCAGTGTGTTTGTTTTTAAAAGTGGAGGGCCCAGCGTGGTAGCCTAGTGGCTAAAGTTCTTGCCTCGCACGTGCCAAGATCCCATATGGGCACCGGTTCTAATCCCAACAGCCCCACTTCCCATCCAGCTCCCTGATTGTAGCCTGGGAAAGCAGTTGAGGACGGCCCAAGGCACCCTGCACCCGCATGGGAACCTTGGAAGAACCTCTTGGCTCCTGGCTTTGGACTGGCACAGTTCTGGCCGTTGCAGCCGGTTGGGGAGTGAGTCATCAGACAGAAGATCTTCCTCTCTGTCTCTCCTCCTCTCTGTATATCTAACTTTCCAATAAAAAGAAAATAAACCTTTAAAAAAAAAAGTGGAAAGCCCAGATTCCTCCAGTGTTGCCAGCCACCCTCCTGTCTCTGAGAGAAGAGCCTGACTTCTGAGGGTGTGGGATTCCTATAGAGTTGTTCACACAGTAGGTGTCGTGTGGGGGTGGCCTGCACTGTCCTGAACTTGGCTGCTTCCCACTTGGTGACACCCAGAGCCGTTTCTCCTACAGAACACTGCGTCCTGTGAACCAGCCAACCCCAGGCATCCTCCATGATGCGTATGGCTCGGGTCCCCTAGAAGGCTCCCCCGAAGTTCCCCCGGTATATGGTATCTGGCTTTACGTCTGCGCTGTTTCCTCTCACGCCCCAGGCGTGTCCAGGCAACCAGGGCTAACACAGTGTGGCTGGTTTTGCAGTTGGGGTCTGGGCTGCCGCTCTGTGCTCCTTTTTTCTCTGTAACACAGTCCTCGTGTTCTGCAGGGCAGGCATCTCTCATCGACCTCCTGGTCTCCAAGGGCGCTGCAGTCAATGCCACAGACTACCACGGGGCGACGCCGCTGCACCTGGCATGCCAGAAGGGCTGTCAGAGCGTAACGGTGAGCTGGCTGTGCTGGCGCCACCCCAGGAGCTGCGAGTCTGGGGGGGATGACATCGTCAGGTCTGGTGCCAGGAGCTGCAAGTCTGGGGGCGATGACATTGTCAGGTTTACGTTGGAAAGTCGCTCAGCCTCTAAGATGAGTCCCTTCGTGGGCTGCATCCTTTGCTCCCCGCACGGATAGGACAGGAAGGATGAGGGTGGTGGTGTCACTGCAGGCTGAGCATCCTCCGTCCTGAATGTCTGGCAGCCCACATGTATTGGGTTTCAAGTTTCTCTGAGATGTTGCAACATTTGCCTATGCTCAGTGAGATAGCTTGAGGTGGGACCCATGTCCAAACACAAGACACATGGAGACTGTACATGCTGGTTTTGGCGAAGCTGTGTTTTGACTGCCACGTGAGGGCAAGTGTGGGATTTGCTGCCTGTGGCATCACGTTTGACAGAAAGCTTTCTTTTGGGGGCATTTTGTTTGTGGATCTTGGATCAGAGAAGCTCGAGCTGGAGATGAGATGGAGCCCAATCCAAAAACGGGACCCTTCGTGAGTGTCAGGGACATGCTGCCCGAGGGAGCTGGCGGCACTCACCCAGCCCCGTCCCCGCTGTGTCTTCTCTCCTTGGGCAGCTGCTGCTGCTGCACTACAAGGCCAGCGCCGACGCGCAGGATAACAACGGCAACACGCCTCTCCACCTGGCCTGCACCTACGGCCACGAGGACGTGAGTAGCCTTTGCTATTCCCTCCCCCCTCACATGCAGAGAAAGACAACTTTCTGATGAGTTCAAGGCTGTTTTGTTTTCATTTAACTTGTTTATTTGAGAGGCAGAAAGAAGGATGAAGGGGGGAATGAGCGTGGGCGAGAGGAGGAACAAGAGAAGGCAAATGAGCAAGGGAGCACTCATCTCCCAGTGCCTGCCGTGGCTGGGCTTGGCCAGAAACTGGGACCTCAATACAGGACTCCCACGTGGATGGCGAGAAGCCAACTCCTTGAGTCCTGACTTGCTATCCCCTCCACTTACACACCAGCAGAAAGCTGGGATCAGAGTGAGCTTAAGCTCACAAATTCAGGCCCCTGGATGACATGCACGTTCCAACCAATATCATCACACCTGGGCCAAAATGCCTTGCCCTGATGTGGCATTTCTGTGTTAATGATTATTGCAACACTGGGTAGGTGGTTTTATAAAAAAAAACTAAAATATTTTAAGTCATGGTAGAGCCACTTCTACAGAAGCAACAGAGAGCTAAATCACCCTGTATGTGATCCTGAAATGAAATCATTTCCATTGATTGCTGGACATGGTCGCATATCCCACTTTCTACTTTGTAATAATGTTGAGGAATTTCATAATCTCCAATTCCACTGACTGTTTCACCATGCACATGTTACTTTTCCCCATCCACTCTCCATGCCACTCATCTCTGCTGGTACTCACGCACAGATAGATTTATACAGGTAGTCAGGGGGTTAAGGTACAACAAGGTGATCCTACGCTTTTTTTTCCCTGCCAGTTTCTGTCCTAACTCAGGAGCACATTGTAGGCCAGCCAGTGTAGGTCCAGCCCTTTCCTTACTAGCAGCACAGTGACCTGTCATGGGTACTGGGCCTGGGGAGCTCCTGAGACCTGCAGGGGGTGCTCACAGGACCAGCACGGAGCTGCAGCCACGGCTGCAGGTTGTTAAAGTGGACAGATGGAAAGCAGAGCCCTCCAAGGGAAAAGGCTGATGAACAAGTTGGGGAAGCCATCCCCTGCTATGAAGGTGCCAGGCCATGATGCCATCAGCGATGGGACGTAACTGCATACTTGTGGGAAGTGTGATCTCCCGGGGGAGCTCCTGAGGGACCAGTGGCCATGATTCTGTGGAGGCTTGTCGCAGAAGGACCCTCTACCTAGCGTGCACACTCTGAGAAGGAGAGCACGCCTTCATCCCTCAGCCACATGGGGGGTGGGGGGAGCCCAGGAAGCCACCTGGAGCATTCCCCAAATCCCAGAGCCCAGGGGCATGCAGACCAAACGACAGCGGCCTCAGGCTGCTGCGGTAGCAAGGCTGTGTATGGAGACACCATGGTTTCTGCCATGGCTTGAGTGGCACTGGGATTCTTTCTATAAATACATTGATTGGGTAGCATGGACCTCCTGAGTCCCAGTCTTCCCTTGGGATGCGGTGCTTAGGAGTGATGCTATGGCCAAGCTGGGAAATGGACTGCAGACCAGGGGACGGTGCAGGTTCCTAAGCAGGGCTGCATCCCCATGTCTCCTCAGTGCGTGAAGGCTTTGGTCTACTATGACACACAGTCGCGCAGACTGGATATCAGCAATGAGAAGGGAGACACGGCCCTGCACATAGCCGCCCGCTGGGGCTACCAGGGCATCATAGAGACGCTGCTGCAGAACGGGGCCCCGACAGATGTGCAGAACAGACTGAAGGAGACGCCACTCACCTGTGCCTTAAACTCAAAGGTAGCTCCTCCCTCTGTGGATCCAGTAGGTTCCTTGCCCCCCCCGGGTAAGTGGCTGCGTTGCGGCAGCTTAGGCTCTTGATGGGTGGCCGTGGAGGACGCAGGGGGTTGTGGGATGTGTGGGTGGTGCTGTTTGCAGCTGCTCTTCTCACCTGGGGCTACTCATGTCCCCTCTGTCCACCCAGATTCTGGCCATCCTGGAAGCTCGCCAGCTGTCCTCCGACAGGCAGCAAAAAGCCGACAGGCAGCAAAAAGCCGAGGTGAGTAATGGGGCTGTGCCCGCTGGTTACGTTGGGGACTGAGGGCTGTCGAACCTACGTGTTATACCTGGTCCCTTGTCTGGCTCCACTGCAGGGTCCTGAGCGCTCCCCTCCACACTCTGTGGACTCCATCAGCCAGGGCTCCTCCACCTCCAGCTTCTCCTCGGCTTCGTTAAGCTCCCGGCAGGACGAGGCCAAGAAGGACTACAGAGAGGTATGGCTTCTACATGGAAGGCCGGGAGGGCAACTCGTGGCCCCGGGGTTCCTGGCAGCTGGTTCTTGGGGCTGCTGCTCCTCTGTGGTGGCCGCCTCTCCCACTGCCATGCACACCTGTGCTGCCTTCCATGGTCTGCTTACTGAGTGGCTCCTTGCTGGGTGTGGTGTGCGTGTGTTTTAGGGAGGGTGGAGAGGGTACGAAATCCTCTAAAGAAAAACAGGTGAAATCGGATTCTGGTTGCCTGACTTCAGATCTGTAGCGGTTTTCTCTGCCTTCTACCTCCCACCCCCACGGCATTCCAGTTAACAGCCAGGAGTAGCTCTGATTCCCTGCAGATGCTGTGCCTGCACCGCATCCCTCTGCGTGCACGCACCACATTCTGCAAAAGCCTCGTGTAGCCTGGAGTCTGTGCAGTGTCAGCCCTGACCGGAGAGGTGGGCAGTGTTGGCTGCACCGTGCCGGGTGGGTCCTCACCGAGTGTCTCTTCCCCTTGGAGGCCCGAGCTGTGGTCTGCTCGCAGAGGGCCCCATCAGCTTAGCTCCATGCAGCGTCACAGCAAGAAAGTCTGAGGTTACGGCTGGAATCTGGTGGCAGGGGGCACTGCCTGCAAGGCACCTCGTTCCCTGGATCATAAGAGTTGAGTGTGAGCTTCGAACTGACCCTCTCACCTTCCCACACAAGAAACACTTAAGGCCCGATGGATCTCAAGTGATGGCCAGACCTCCGTTCACTAGCCACCTCCCAGGATGCCCCCGCTGGGCAGTGGAGGAATGTGTTTGGAGGCACCATAGGAGACTTTATCACAAACAGCCTCCCACGAGTTGCCAGGGTTTCAGAGCACTTATATTTTTTCCATTATGTTAGTACTCAGATCACTTCGCTAACACTCTTCTTCCTTTCATTAAGGTAGAAAAGCTTCTAAGAGCGGTTGCTGATGGCGATCTAGAAATGGTGAGTTCTGGGTAACACCTCTGCCAGGCCTGGGTCTGGATTCTGGCAGCTGCGCCTGAGCTGCCTGGCTGGTTGCACAGCTGCTTTTGTGCCCTGGTGGAGTGACTGACGGGCATGTTGTGAGTGTGCCCCCTGTGCTTTGGATGGTGTTGTTGCAATGAGTGTGGCAAGAGGTTGGCAGGAATATGGAGCAGGTGCAGGGGTCCAGGGTGTGTGTGGGCCCTTGAGCCAGGGAACAAGGCAGGTAGGCAGGCAGGCAGGTAGGCAGGCAGGCGTGGCGGGGACAGAAAGTGGTGGAGGTGAGGACAGAGCCTACAGTGTCTGTGTGACCCGGAGCAGCCAAGGGCAGCTGCAACTCCAGGCCAGGAGGCCAAGGTCTGAGTGATCGGATGAGATGGTGCTGGGCATTTTGGATTGGCATCTGGGGAGGATGTCACAGCTCAAGCAACTGTATCTGTCCTAACAGTCACCTGATGGGTTGGAGTGGACAGCGAGATGGCCTTTGTGAGGTTTCTCAGGGGTGCTTTCCCTGGCTGGCCTCTTGGCCTGAGTCGGTCATACAGAGTGGTAGCTGTCCAGGGGTGATGGACAAAAACAGAAGCTGCTGAGCTATCAAGAATCTGAACATGGTTATCATTGGACTGTGCATGGCTGCTGTTAGTCCATCAAGGTGATGTGTAGTTCCCTGGGCTGGAGGGGGCACAGGGAGTCCAGGTGGCCATTGCTGGGCTATCCTCAAGATACAGGACCCAGGGGGACTCAGAGTTCTTTGGACAAGCAGAGGAGGATGACTTTAGGCTCCCCAAAAGCCTGCTGTGGACTGGCAGGCAGTGAGTTGAGACACTCATGCAGATGCCCAGTCAATACCAACCACCCGGTGCCTGGCCTACACCTACCTGTTAACTCACTAGCCCACCTGTTTGCCTGTGCCCCGGGATGCAGGGGGTCCGCATGACCCCTCCGCACCTAGCTCTAGACACATGCTTTGATCTTTTGGGTCAAACTGCGTGTTCAGTAGACTAGCCTTTGCTGGGACGTGTGTTTGGGCTTTTCAGGATTCTTTCCAATATTTTCACATGTGGACTGGTGTGTTACAATAGAAGCACTGGTATGGAGTCCAGGAGCCTGTGTGCACTTGGTCAGGTGCCATGGAGTAGCCGTCGACCGCTTGGTGCGTTTCTGCTGGCTGCAGGGCTGGGGGCTGAACCGTGGTGGGGATTGGTGCAGGTCAGAGGAGGCCCCAGGGATTGCGCTGTTGCAGCTCACTCTAATGTCCGCTGCATCTCCCTGTGTCCCCATTAGGAGACCCCAGAGAGGCCGGAGGCTTGAGTACCCCCACGTCCACAGGGGAGTGGAGGCCATTTGTAAACGGCTCTGTGGCTGAAGAAGGAAGTGCAGGCCCTTGGTGGTGTGTGTGTGAGAGAGAGAGAGGCAGAGACAGAGAGCATGACCTTGCGGCTTTGGATGCAGCCTGGGTGGACGTGAAGTTCCTATTTCTTCCTGCTCTGATCCCCAGGTGCGTTACCTCTTGGAGTGGACAGAGGAGGACCTGGAGGAAGCAGAGGGCAGTGGCTACACCACCACAGACCAGGAATTCTGCCACCCACTGTGCCAGTGCCCCAAGTGTGCTCCAGCCCAGAAGGTGCGGCCTGCTGGCCACCTGGGTGATGCTGCTGAGGGTAGGGGGAGGGAGGGAGGCCTGTCTGTCATCCTCTCAGGAATGTCCTGGGTTGCTCATCCCCACCCTGACCACGTGGCTGCCAAGAGGCACCTCCGAGGACCACAGCAGGGGTGCCTCATCTCACATGACCAGGGTGGCTCTAACTTGGAAAGCAATTGTGTAGCTCATAGCTGAGTCCTTGCTGCCCAGACTGCCCCCCAACCCTCTGTGGCCACTGCTGACATGCTAGTGTGACCAGGAAACAGTGGATAATGGCTTGTGTGATTGAGTGCCTGCCACCCAGGTGGGAGATGCAGATGGAGTTTCTGGCCTCTTGCGTTTTGACCTCATTGCCTTGACTGTTTTGGGTGTTCAGAAAGTGAAACAGAGGGTGGAAAAATCTCTGTGTCTCTCCTCTCTTTCTCTGTCATTCTTTCAAACCAATAAATCTTTTAAAAAATGAGTTAGTTCACATTTTCTAGAATTTTGTGAAAATGAAATCATATACACACATGCACACACACATATTGTTGTGTTAACTTAAGCATTATGTCAAATGCCTGTCCTCTATTTTCTTTTTAAAGTTTTTTTTTTTAATCTGTTTGAGAGGCAGAGAGACGGAAAAACATAGTTTCCATCTGCTGGTTCACTCCCCAAACCCCTGCATGTGCAGTGTCACGTTGGGAGCTGGGAACTTAGCCAGGTTCTTCCATGAGGATGTCAGCCCCTAACTGCTGCCTCCCCAGAGTGTGACATGGCAGGAAGCTAGGGCTGGGAGCTGGATCCAGGAAAGGTCCAAAGGACCACTGCCCACTGGCAGGCATCTGTTTCTGTGTTTGCCACGAGGTGAGGACTGGCGGGCAGTGTCTTCACGTGTGCGCACCCGGTTATTCCAGAACTTTTTGAGGATTGGACATTGTCCCCCAAGGAACGGTCTAGCACGTGAATGCAGTGTCTTAGGGGGCTGGCTTTACTACAAACAGAAATCAGTAGTTCGCTGTGGCTTTTTATATATGTATATAATGGCCTGGGTCCCACCAGGATCCCAGATTTTGCACAGCGAGCCAGTTGAGATGCATTGAGTTCCTGAGCCCCGTTTCCTGAATACGAATGACATCTCGTTTCCAACGTGTGCACCTTCTAGAAGCTAACAAGGCTCCCTGCCAGCGGGCTCGGGGTGAACGTGACCAACCAGGACGGCTACTCACCGCTACATGTCGCAGCCCTGCACGGGCGGGCAGACCTCATCTCTTTGCTGCTGAAGCATGGTGCCTACATTGGGGCCAGCAGTGCCAGCCAGGCCGTCCCACTGCACTTGGCCTGCCAGAAAGGCCACTTTCAGGTATGGCTCTGCCTCGGGCGGGAGTCGGGGGTTGTTGCAGAGGGTTTGGCTTGGTGGCTGGTCCGTGCACGGGTACATTTCTCTCCCTACAGCCCTGACAGTCTGAGCTGCACGTGGTGGGACCAGGACGTAGAGAGCCAGCTGCCTTCTCACACTGTCATTCACTTCAGACCCTAGCAAGAGCTGGTTCTTGTGCTGGGTGTTGGTCCTCAGGGTTCTGCCTGCAGTCGTCTCGCACTCTGTCTGCCAAGTGCTTCAGTGCTTTCTAATGCAGGCAGGACACCATAGAAGGGTCCTGGAGCAGTCCCGTTTTTCTTTTAGAAAACAATCTATGTGATGCCTCCATTGTCCTCTGTCGGCCTCACTGTGTAGTTTCTGGGAAGGACTCATTCAGATCTTCCATCTCTCGCTAACACCTAGAACAGAGCTTGAAGCATCAGTTTCCTCATCTGGGACGTGGGTCATATCCCCACCTCTGCAGAAGGCAGGTGCAGAGATTTAAATCCAAGCATGAGTACCCAGCATGCCGTCTGGCAGAGTGACTCCTGCAAGTCCATCGCTCCGGCCCAGCGGCAGCCTTCCCATTCACCCTTTCCTTACCCGTGGCTCCCAGGACAAGGCCTGTGTCCCTGGAGAGAGCCTTCACCGTGAGCCTAGACAGCTGTCAGCAGAATCCCAAGCTGGAGGGTTCTTCCCCACATGTCTTGGAGTTGACAGTTTTTCTTCTGTGGTCTAGGTGGTCAAGTGTCTACTGGATTCTCACGCGAAACCCAATAAAAGGGATCTGAGCGGAAACACACCCCTCATCTATGCCTGTGCCGGCGGCCACCATGAAGTCGCGGCACTGCTGCTGCAGGTAAGGCTGCTTCCTGGGCCTGCTGCCTAACACAGCTGTACGGTACCCTCACCAGCTTCACCCCTGCAAGTAGCAGGGGGCCTGGGAGTGAGCGGGACCGTCCCCTGTGCCCTCGTGCAGAGGGGCTTCATGCTGTCAACCTGCACGCGATGTTCTGGTGGCCCTGGGCTGCTGCTTCAGTGTTTGCTGTTCCGTCTGGGACTGACGACACTGCACATGCTGAAGGCATGGGCCTCGCCTGGCTTTCCGCGGAGGTGTCGTGACCAGAAGCCTGAATTGCTGCTGCTCCTTTCTCTCTCTGTCTGTCTCTCTCTCTCTCTCTCTCTCAAGATTTTACTGGGCCTGGTACAATCATTCCAATATATCAATTCTCACCTTGCAAGCTCCATGATCTCCTATGGCCACCAGTGTGTATCCTGGCTGCTCTGCTTCCCATCCAGCTCCCTGCTTGTGGCCTGAGAAGGCATTAAATGATAGCCCAAAGCCTTGGGACTCTGCATCCATGTGGGAGACCCAGAAGAGGCTCCTGGCTTTGGATTTGCTCAGCTCTGGCCATTGTGGCCACTTGGGGAGTGAACCAACAGATGGCAGATCTTTGTCTCTCCTCTCTATAAATCTCTCTTTTAAATAAAAATAAGTACATCTTAAAGAGACGATTTATTCGACTTAGTTGAAAGGCAGAATTAGAGGGAGATAAAGGCAGAGAGATCTTCTGCCCACTGGTTCACTCCCCAGATGGCTGCAACAGCCAGACCTGGGCCAGGCTGAAGCCAGGAACCTGAGCTTCATCCAGGTCTCCCCCATAGGGACAGGGCCACCAGCACTTGGGCTGTCTTCTCCTACCTTCCCAGGTACATTAGCAGGAAGCTGAATTGGAAGTGGAGTAGCAGGGACTGAAGTCGGTGCTCATAAGAGATACCAGCGTTGCAGGCTTAAGGTGCTGTGCCACAATGCCGGCCCTGTGCCTTATCTTCTAGGTAAAGATATGTTGACTGCAAAGAATTTAAAGAATCAGGGAAAAAGCCAACTTGGTTGTACTACTCAAAGGCAGTTCTTTTTAGTGCCTTCAAAGGTGTTTGTTATCTGGATAGGTGTGTTTTGTCGTTTGCCATTTGCTGTGTTGGTGTCAAGCCTCAGCTGTGTACTGGCTGTGGCCACCCTGTGGGTTTCAGCAGTTCTCCCTCTGTCCCTCCACATGGCCCCCGCTGTCTTCCGCTTTGACCACGAGCACCGCATGCACACCTTGGTACCTCTGAGCCTCACATAGTTTGTACAGAAAAGTTGAGAACTTGGGAGGCGCTCCTGCAGGCTTCCACTGGACAGTGCCCCTAGCCCCCTGGCCAGCACTGGTCCTCACACACCCCTACTCTCTCCTCCCAGCACGGGGCCTCCATCAATGCCTCCAACAACAAGGGCAACACGGCGCTGCACGAGGCCGTGATGGGGAGACACGTGTTCGTGGTGGAGCTGCTCCTGCTGCACGGCGCTTCAGTGCGCATCCTGAACAAGCGGCAGCGCACGGCCATGGACTGTGTCGAGCACGTGAGTGCAGCCTCCAAGGCCCTCCAGGGATCCCTCGGGGTTAGACCAGATCTGAGCTGGAAGCAGTCAGTCCTCCAGGTTTCCAGAACGCCTAGATAGCTGGGCATGCCGCCTGGGAAGCCAGAATTCATCCTGCTGTGTGGAGGTGCCCCCAGCCCAGTTCAGAACTTGAGGGGAAGCAGCCAAGTAAAGAAGGCTTTTCTGGTTTCATCTAGTGTGGTGTGTATGCGCCTGCCAGCTTGGCTGCTCTGTGGGGAGAGCCTGTTGGTCTGTGGATGTGCAGGAGTGGTGCATGCAAGAATGGTGATGACCAATGCCCGGCCCTTGCCAGTGCTATGAGAATTCCTTCTCCCCAGCAAGAGAATTCCTTCTCTCCTGGGGAGAAGATGTTCTTTTTGCTCCCAGTCTCCATGTTGAATTTTTATCCAGTTTTCTACCTGGGGATACAATGCTAATAGGCATACTGTGAGATGGTTGAGATGTTCAAGACATCATAAACGCAGTTCAGTTCTTTTCAGTGATATTTCCTAATTAGAATTGAAATATTTTAGATTCCAAGTTGCAATACTTTCTCAGAGCGATGCTGTGGATGAATGTGTGTCTTGAAGACTTAACAAGAGGGTGGAGGATCAAGAACATGACCTGTCCCTGTCAGCCCAGCCACAAGGAGTGCTGGGCAGAGGTAGAGCTGGGCTCCCACACTGGACAGCCTGCCCCACAAAGCTCTGGCCTCACCATCTTGGTTGCAGTTATTTCCCTGCCTTTTCTGTCCAGCCACATCGATACTGACATTTAGATTCCAAACAAATATTGGCCCGCTAGGAACAAAATGTCGCGGTTATCTCTCCCTGCCAAACTGTAGAACTCGAAAATCATGGAGTTGCTTCAGGTCGTCCCGAGCTGTGTGGCCTCGTTAGAGGATGCTGATGAAACAGACCACAAGGACTGTGTTACAGTGAAAATCAGGAAGAAATGTAAGAACTCACGTTCTGTTACTCTCTGCTTGGGTTCATTTGGAAATCCATGGGTACCTGCTGGTTTTCATGGACCACTGAAATGTCAAATGTGACCGTTGTCCTGACTGGGCTGGTGGGGATGGAGACAGGGGATATGTGTGACTCGTTCTGAGACAAGGCGGTGAGCTTTGCTTGATGGCTGTTTTCTGGCTGAGTGAGGACCCTGCTGAGCTTCTCCCTCCAGGGCTTGTGCACAGCCTCAGCTAGTTTCTGTCATGTCTCATATTCCAAGCCATTTCCTGTAAATACTACTTTTACAATTTTTTTTTTGAAGATGTGTTTATTTTCGGAAGACTTAAAGAGCCCTCCATCTGCTAGCTGACTCTTGCTAGATAGCTGCAGTAGCTGGGGCTATGCCAGGCTGAAGCCAAGAGCTTCATCGGAGTCTCACCTTTGGGTCCAGCAGCCCAAGCACTTGGGCCAATGGCTGCTACTTTCCTAGGTACGTTAGCAGGGAGCTGACTCAGAAGTGGAGCAACTGGGACTTGGACCAGTGCCCATAAGGGATGCCAGTGTGGCAGGCAGCACAGCTTAACTCACTGTGCCACCAACTAGCCCCCAGGTTTTAAAAATAATAATAACAATTATTATTATTATTATTTGTAGGTGTTCATAGATCGATAGTAATTAGAACAGCAGCTGCCAAGCAGTGTTGGATGTCAAGTGGTTATTTAAAATTTAATTTTATCAACTTACTTTTATTTTATTGGGAAGGCAGAGAGATTGACCAATCTTGCATTTGCTAATTCACTTCCTGAATGTCCATATAGAGCCAGAGCTGGGCCAGGCTAAACTCAGGAGCCTGAAAGTCAATCTGGTCTCCCCCATGGCCGGTAGGGACCCAGGTACAGGCACCAACACCTGCTGCCCCTCTCCCTCCCTGCCTGGAGGCTGGGCAGGAGGCAGACCTGGGACTGAGAAGGCAGGTCTCCAACATGGGATGTGGCATCCTAACTACCACCTCCAAGTGTTTTAAGTTCAGAAGGGTTCCTTGCTCCTTTTGAAAACCTTTGCTTCTTTTGAAAACAACTTTGCAGCTTTCAGTGCAATTAGGTTGGATAACCCCGTGGCTGGCTGGTTGTGACTGGCCGTGTGAAGTGACCGCAGGACGTGTCTGTGAACTGATGCCATGTCTTCCCGATGTCAGGGTGGGGCAGGGGGTGTTCGCACAGCAGTAAATAGCAATCCTTTAAGCAAGCAACAGACACATGGTTTTTAAAATCAGTCAATTTTGAAGTGAAAAGATGTCTTTCCTTTTCTCTCCAGGGAACTCAAAATTGTATGATCTGCCTGAGGAAACCTTCAGCAGACAGTTCTGCTTTGTTCACTCTGTGTGCCAGTTCAAGTGAGTATCAGATTGGAGTGGCCATCAGCCTCGCAGCTGCTGCAGGGCCCTGCCGCTGGGACTGGCCGGAGATCTGTAGCCGTTGAATGCTGCCACCCAGTGGACAGAGCGTTCACACTGCTGTCTCAAACGCTTCTGTTTCTTTGGGGTTTATATTTAATTTCTTTTGGGTTTCAGGGGAAGGACTTCAAGGGAAATGATGGCAAGAGATAGAAGTGTTCCTAATTTTACTGAAGATTCTTTACATGAGGTGAGTTGCTAAACACTGGCTGGCAGCCCAGTTTTTTTTTAAGATGTACTTCTTTTCATTGGAAAGCCAGATATACAGAGAGGAGGAGAGACAGAGAGGAAGATCTTCCATCCGCTGGTTCACTCCCCAAGTGGCCACAGCAGCTGGGGCTGAGCCGATCCGAAGCCAGGAACCAGGAGCCTCTTCCATTGTCTCCCACGCAGGTGCAGGGTTGTAAGGCTTTGGGCTGTCCTCAGTTGCTTTCTCAGGCCACAAGCAGGGAGCTGGATGGGAAGCAGGGCCACTGGGATTAGAACCGGCGCCCATATGAGATCTCGGCATGTGCTAGTCGAGGACTTTAGCCACTAGGCTACCATGCCGGGTCCAGTCCTGCTTTTTAAAGCCTAGCTGTTTTCAGAAGTCATCCACGGTAAACACGTGTCTCGGACAGTCATCTTCATCTCCTTCTCCCCTTGTTAAGAGCTAGCAGCAACTGACCGTGCAAGTCTGGAGGGGACAGTCAAGATGACAGGCGTCACTGTGACACTGAGAGATCGGTTTCTGAGTGGAGACAGTGAGGGGATAAGGATGGGAGAGGGAGGAGCGTGTGGGGTGCTGCAGGCCTGGGTGTGGAGTCTCTGGGATCCCTAGGGGTGCCCCCTTGTTGTAGTCCGCAAGGGAAGAGAACAGCAGTGCATGCAGAGATGAGTAAAGAGCATCCCCAAACATGAGACCGAGTTGTTTACGGAGGTCGTGCCTTCGTGGCCATCTGCCTCCTGTGCCATCTGCTGGCTCAGCTATGGGGAGAGGCCTGGTACACAAGCCAGGGCCCTTCCTCTGGTGGCTCTCCTCCTTAGTGACGAGGAAACATGTGACAGGGAGTGAAGAGTGGTTCTTCTCAGCATGCCGGATGTCCATTTCATCTGTATTGTCTCTCAGCTTTGCCAGTAGACCTGCAGACCTCTGGGAGGTCCGCAGTCTTTGACATGTGCCTGAAGTGGAGTGCTGGCTTCACCCCAGCTGGGAAATGGGGATAGCAATAGAACCCTCTGCTTAAGAGTTCCAAAGCCTAAACGTGAGAGCTTTGCCGTGTGTATGACACATCGCAGGACGGGCGTGTCACAATTGGAGTAGTGAACATGCTTAGCAGCTGTGCCGAGCTTGACTGCAAGACAGTGCAGGCATGGTTGATTTGACATGTATCTTTTCTTCAGCCAGAGAGGCAAGGGGTCAGCCTGAGACAGGAGGATAAGCTGCCGGAGCAGAGCGAGTCTCTGACTTGGGCCGGGAAAAGCAGTGAGCAGCCGGAGCTGCCTGGACACCCCACACGCACTGCTCCAGGCAACAGGGACAGTAGGCGACTGCTACGCAGACACACAGTCGAGGGCCCTGACCCTGCAGGCCACCACGCCACACACCGAGAGGCCACTACTTCCCAACCCTCACAGTCCTAAGGAATCGTTAACTTGGCTGCCGTGAGTACCCAAGGTGCTGAGCACAAGCAAAGCCTGGCACTACCCATCCCTTCCAGTGCCCGGCTTGAGAGAGGCTTTTCTGAGGTGAAGGACAGGCCACAAGACCCTTCCAGCTCTCTCCTCTTCCAGGTATAATGAATACACATGAGAAGAAGTGGACAGAAATCCCAGTGGGCAGGGCCGGAGCCTCCAGTCCAGGTGGTGGCCGTGTCACTGCCGGGGGTCTGAGCTCCTCCTGCTAAGCTCTGTGATGTGTAGCAAACTGCAGGTGCAACTCCCCGCGCCTGCAGGTTAAGCCAGAGACAGTAGGGGCCAGGCAGAAATGTCACACTGGAATGAAGAAATGGAGCCTGGGCCATGTTCCTTGGTAAAGCAACACTTGAACCCAAAGATGCCTCAACGCCATTTTGACGTTCACTCGAGTGACACCTTAGAACATAGCCTACACCACGCATACGGAGGAAGTTGGATTTAATTTTTCTTTTACAGTGTTTCCAGAGCCGTCCCGTTCTTTCGAGAACCTCCTTTAAATCTCACACCCGACAGATGGATACTAGAGTCGATTTGGCACATCTTTTCTTAGTCTTTTAATTCAAAACTTACAGCACAAAGTTACCTTAAGTTAGAATTTATTGTCACTTATTCCTTTTTATAAATTTCTATCGATTTTTTTTTTTTTAATGTTCCTGGTCTAGAGCTACAACCATGGGTTTAGTACCTTTTCAAATAACTTTGTAATAAGCAAATGGGATTGTGCATGTTCTTGGAAATACTTGTGTACGTACAGAAGGGAGGGCTGATTATTTTTCTACAAAGTAATTTATGATTTATAATTTTCTAATGTGCCTTGGAAATGTGCCAAATGACAGGAGAGAAATAGTAAACTTTATGATTTTTGAGTGCGTCATGGTGTACTTTTCTAATGTGCCAGGGAGCAGGCGTTTCTCAGCCGTTCTGCCACGAACATCGGAGGAGTATCACTTACAGGGGTCACTGACGCTGAGCATCTCCACACCCTTGACCAAGCCGACTTGACCAAGCAGGCACAGTGCCCAGGGCCCATGACACTTTGAGGGCCCTGCAAGAGTGTGTTCACTGATTCAGAGTTGTGGGTACAGCATCCTAGCCCAATCAGAAAGTAAGGGTGTGGTTTTACAAGTTATGATCCCAGTGTATTGTTCCTCCCTTCCCCCACTTGGAAACAAAACCGCCTTCCTGACTGAGGCGGCGTGGTTTTGTGCCTTCCCAGGCCAGTGAGTCAGCACAGGCGTCAGTTACCAAAAGTCAGTTGATCCTGCAGCACCTAATGTTTTGGGTGGTGCACTCTAAAAAAAGTTCCACGTATACCCGTTTAATTATAAAGTTGTCGTGGGTGACAGAACTGTCAAATGAGGAAGCAAGCAAAAAAAACATCGTTTGGTGTTTTTGCTTGCCCTATCGAAGGAAAAACTAGACTTAATAGTTGACTGGTAATATCCGAATTTCCATTCTGGGTAAAAAAGGAAGTTTTGCAGTAGTGCCAGTTCACTGATTTCAATGGGAAAGTGCAGACACGCCACCCCTCCTTGAGGACTTATCCTTGAGTACAGAACCCCTTTGCATTCTTAGTGCCTTTCCAAGGCAAGGTTTGATAGTGTTAAAGCCCGCTCATGTCAGTGGCTGCAGGAAGCATGTAACAGTTGCTCAAAACTGTTTAATGTTGCTCCAGCATTTTTATATTCAACCTAACACTAAATTGACCTGTAATGACTTTTTAAAATGTTTAAAAATCTATTTGAAAGGCAGAGCTGGATACCTGCATCTAGAAGTCTCCCATCTGCTTGTTCATTCCCTAAAAGCCTGCAATAGCCAGGGTTGGATTAGACTAAAGCCCAGAACTCTATCCCAGTCTCCCTTGTAGATGTTAGGGACCCAGGTGGTCTACTGTGTCTCAGGGTACACATTAGGAGGAATATGGAATTGGGAACAAAAGCCAGGACTAAAATCCAGTAGGGAAGTGGGCCTCCCAAGCCACATCTTTATTTTTTTAATTGATTTATTTTTATTGGAAAGTCAGATTTACACAGAGAAGAGACAGAAAAATCCTCCATCTATTGGTTTACTCCCCTAGTGGCCGAGGCAGCTGGAGCTGAGCTGATTTGGAGCCAGGCACCTCCTCTGGGTCTCCCATGTGGGTGCAGGGTCCCAAGGCTTTGGGCCATCCTCAATTGCTTTCCCAGGCCACTAGCAGGGAGCTAGAAAGGGAAGTGGATCAGCCAGAATATGATCTGGCACCCATGTGGGATAGTGGCACGTGCAAGGTGAGGACTTTAGCCACTAGGCAACTGTGCCAGGCCTCCCCTCAAGCCACAGATTTTGACTTTGTGATTCTACTCACTGAAGAATGTTAGTGCTTATTCCAGCACTGACTCTTCATTATCTACTGTAGTTAGAAATCTAAATACAGTAAATCTCAGGAGGACCACACCCCAAATTTCCTAACATATTTCTGCCAGTAATATTACTTAAGAATGTTCTGAACTTAACTCCTGCATTGAGTCCCTCAAGATGAAGATGTTGAAAAGGTCCCGCCAGGTGGATCCTTATGACATTATGAGTCAGGCTTCCAGACGAGCGAAAGCACAGCATTAGCCATGACACGCGCGTGAAGCCGTCTGCCACTTCTCGGGATGCTCCTGCCGAAACATTTTATGTGTTGAACTGTCCCAACCGGCTCGTGATCATGACAGGTCCTTTCTCTTACAAGACACATTTCTTAGGAATTACTAGCTATGTCCTAGAGAATGTGGTCGTTATGACTGAGGGAAGTATTGCTGTGGCTGTCTCAGATGGAAATGATATTTGTTCGAAATTAATCTCAGCCTCAAAAAAGCAGGTTATAGAAGAGATGAAAGCCAGGAGTTTCTTACTTTAAGTACTGTTTGCAAGAAGAGAACAGCTTCCTCGCTTTCAGGACCCAGTCTTGGGAGTATTAGTTGTGCCCCAGTGGTAAAGCTGATTCAGTTTCATTTGTGGGTCTCAATTCCACATGACTAGATACTGCTATCTTCTCACTGAAGAGGATTGGGGGAGCTTCTGTATAAGCTAAGGATGCTTGCTTACCAAGAGTTAGATAAATTTTAAAATGTAAAAGATCAATTTGATTTATTGTAAAAAATAAATTTATGTTGCTACACATTTAAAGCTTTTGGCAGGAGGGGGCAGGGAATGTCAAAATGCAGCTCTTCCAGTCACTTGGCTACAGGTCTGAAACAACTTGCTGAATTACTCTATTTTGCATAACGAGTTTATTTTTAAAGGCATATAGACAATAAACAGAGTAAACATGTAACCAGATCTGTTCCATTAAGCTCCAGTTTCCGAACTTTTTTTAGTTAATAATCGTCATCTTCATCAGAATCCATTACTTTTCTTCTGTTGAACTGGGGGGAGATTAAATGAGCATCATGTTAGAACATGTTTAAAAAACTGTAACTCAGATTTCCTGAGAAGAAAAACATCTGTCTTCTGTAGTAAGATGCTTCTGTGCGTCTTAAAACAACTCGGTGAGCTAAGAGGGTGGGGATGGGAGACAAGAACCTCACATCCCCGACAATAGATTCATGAGCATTTTTTCCAAAATGGCCTGTTACAGAATGAAAGCGTCTGCGGGTTAAGACACTTTGATATGGTGGATATACGTCCAACACGAACATTGCACGTCCTTTCGCCACGTGGATTTGAGGGGTACTTACTTTAACTGTCGTTTTCTTTTCTGTTTGTTGGCTTACTTTTTCAAGGATTTCTATTAAACCTTGTTCTGATACCTAGGATAACCAGAAGGAAAAGCAGGACTTTTTTAAAGAAAGAATTCAAAGTACATGGATATTAAGAACATCTTTCCCTCACTAATTCACACCCGTGTGCAGACCCCTCTGCTGCCCTGAAGGAATCACGGACCCTCACCTCCCACACACGTGTGCCTCCTGGTGGGAGGGGCCCCGGGGAAAGGACTGATCGGATTGGCGGAGGGTGGCAGGTCTGGCAGTGCAGGTGGGCTTCACAGGATATGCTGCTCGGCATTATGGCAGCACAGTGACCAGCCCAACTCTGCCCTGCACTGGCAGGATGTTCACTGGCGTTATGGATAGCCTTGTTTCCAGTGTAGGAGCAGTTTCAGCTAGTAGACTGTCAGTCATCAGGCCACACAGACACCAAGGCACCACAGAGAGGGAGGGAGGGGAGAGGCCAAGGATGCTAGGAGGGCAGTTAACGTAGCACACATGCTGGGCATGGTGAGGCTCTCCTTTAAACATGTCCTCACAGGACGCCTCTGCAAGAATTCCATAATCTGATGTATATAAAATCCACCTTTGGAAGGTTTTGATAAAACAGGGTGACATACCTTCCCACTTAGTTGTCCATATCTTGCCATCTGAATAAGGTAATTTTCTACTGCTTTAGATTTTTCAGGCTTTACAAGTGCTAAGTTACTTACTAAAACAAAAAACATATGCAAAAGGTGTTAAAACTACATGCAGTATTGCACCTGAAAGCTATGTCTTGACACTTCCAAGGACTGCACAGCCTGCACATATGCCTCCCAGTGAAGCAGTAAGGACACAGTACTGTCGCCCCTCAGAAACACAAGTCCTGTCACATCAGGCTCAAAGCCACATGGAGGCAGTGATGGGACCTAAATTAAACTTGGTAAACTCAGTACCCAGCTCCTCTTACCCCTGCCCCGTGAAAGGCAATTTGTCTATTAGCATGCAGTAGTGATGGAGATACAACCACAGCTGCCTCTTTAAAACTCAAATAGGAAGATACTAGTTGATTCTGATTGGCCCATTGGACTCTCTGGTTTTTATTAAGAAAATC